TTTTTTTTTTCTGAAAAAAATGGAATGTAGGAGCATACCGGCATAGAAAATAAAAGGATAGAAATATCCTAACATTTACTTATAATTATTAAATATATAAAAAAATAATTTAATTTTAATTTTATAAAATTTTAAATTTGAGTCATTAACATATAAATAAAAAATTTTAGAAATAAAAAATAACGTTAAAACTACACTAGATCACTTAACCAAAGAAATATGTGAACATAAATGATTAATTCAGAAATTGTTGTTTGATTTTTACATCACATCTACTTCGTTAGTGTTATAACGATGTTCAAAGTAATCTACTTTTAATTTTTCTATTCTTGTTATGCTTTACATTCTTTTTTAACATGAAGAATTATGGGAGAAAAGATTAATTTTTAAGTTATTAAGAGAGTCAAGTTTTCAATTAATTTATTTTAAACACTTAAAATTTAAAGATAAATCAATAAACGTGTGAAATTTCGGTTGACTTTGCATTTTTGTTTACACGGTTATGAGGCCATAATCCTTATATAGAGTCAGGCATTCCTCTTTCTTGTCGTGGCTCCCGTACTGGATGTTTTAGTTAATGATATTTACGTTACGGGGTGTTTTGCCAGATGATCTTTATCGAGCACGTTCTAAAAATATAATATTTTAATTAATTTTTTTAAAATTAATTGTTAATTTAAAATTTTTATTTATATAAAATTTTAAATTGAATTGGTAAAATTAATTTTTTTTTAAACAGTGTGAAATTTTTTCGAGAAAAAAGAAAGAGGAATCTGAGATTTGATTTCAAGTTTCGCTAGTCCTACTCACATTCCGCAAGAGGGTGATCAATAAGTCACCAAGTGCGGACTAATTAGTAAAACTAATTACTTTATTAATTATATAATGTTTAAATACCACTAAATATATATACCTTAATAAATAAATTTTTTTATCAAATAGTTATAAATATCTAATCAATTTAAAAATTGATATATATATTTATATAAATAAAATATTTAATTTTTAAAATATTAATTATAAGATAAATTTTTATATAAGTCCTCTAAAAATATGTTTTAAAAAATAACATACATTGCATTATCTCTTTATATTATGCTCAAAAGAGTAATTCTTCCTACCTTATAGCTCAATACAATTTTTTTTTTAAAATTTTATCATGGGACTGAGCTAAACCATTGTCCTGAAAGAGGAAAATATAAACTTTATAAAAATGACCAAAACCACTTAACTAACAGAGTCAGATTCGATTGCTATACAATTTTTAAATATGAATAACTATATATAATTCATTATTCTCACCTATCATCATCATAATTATTATATATATTTAGTGCTATACTTTATGATTTCTTCTGGACTCTATGAGGCCTAGTACAGTGAGTCATACGCAATAATTTCTTTGTTCTTATTAGAATAAAATTCTCCGCCTCCCGGATGGAATTTTTTCCGCCTCCCGTATTGAATTTTTTCCGCCTAAGGGATATGGTGGGCGTTGCTTTTCTCCGTTATTAGTTGACTAATTTGTTTATTTTCATATGTATCAAAATTCAAAAAAGTTTAATAATAAAATTCTCATTTTTTTTATAAAAAAAGGAATAATTTGGACTGGTTACGCAACAGTGACGATGTGATGATGCAATCATGACGAGGTAATGACGCAAGGAAAATTTTTTTTGATTAATTAATTTGATAAATTTTTTATTTTGAGTCAAACTTTTTTATCTATAAATTTGGTAGAACTAAGAAGTGGCATGCACCAATTGTAGTGGAAGCACTGAAATCATTAAGGCAAACAAGAGC